TTGAGTCTAGGGAGTGTTAAAATGTGGACTTCAAAGTAGACTGCGTCCACTTAATTGCCTTAATTTGTATGTATTTAACCAAGTTATGTTCTTCTACGGCTTCTTTCTTTATACATATTACATGCAACTGTAGACACTTATCTATTTATGCTAATACCCAATCTAACTTATGCCCAATAATACAAACGCTTCCCCTTAAATCTATCCAATTATTAAATATGCCTCAATGTGTTATGTGTTTTCACCCGATGCTACTGGCTTAACCTTTAGATGTTATTGTGTGTAACCATTCACCTGCTTATCGCCATTATGCTTCATAGTTCATATGCATATTTATTTGCGCCTCAGCCAACATACGTCTAAGATATGTATAAGAGCCCTGCATCGGTTAATTGATTTTTATCAAACTTGAATACTCAATCGATTTAATGGAAAACTAACCGACTCGAGCTTTGGAGTATTCGATCGAAGTCAATGTCATTTATACCTCAAGTTATCATCATGTTTGAAGTAGGATTAGTTCGAACACAGCCTAAACAATCGAACTTACAGCAAATTCGATCAGCTTGAACTTATTTATTCGGTTAAACAGTCGAGTTCACCAACTTAAACTTTTGTCTGCATCACGAGCCGTAAACATTTGAGTCTTGACTCGCTCGAACGAAATAATCGGTTGACCCGATGCAGGGCTCTAATATGATTGTTATGCGGTCCATTAATCTTTTAAATGTTGTGCTGCCTTCGACAAGCTTTAACTCAGCATCCAATATACATGGAAAAAGATAATGATTCAAATAGCTGCGCCTTATAAATAGTATTGTCGAAACGCATGAAAGGGTGTGAATGTAGTGTGTGATATTGAGTGCTGAAGCTGAAGTCGAACCTATCATATCTTAGAAACCTTTATACTTATATATAACTAACTAATGTTCACAGATGGACTGCGGTTGCGCATGTCCAACTGTGAAGATCTAATGAATGTTTTTGCATTGCACCAAAACCAAACGAAAAATCGTGTGTTCTTTTTCTTCTTTTCTTTTCTTGTGTGACAAAAAAAAATATATATAAAAATAATCACGTATATAATGCAGCTGCCCAATGCCAACACAGTCAGCAACTTGAACACCAACAACTCCTGCTCCACCTATCCCACTGTTAACTCAAATACTCAAAGCACGTGCACGCCCACGACACAACAGAACAACAGCAACAACACATCCACGGCACAGAGCAACAACAGCCCCACCAAGCTCACCTCAACATTTTCCAATTCGAATTCCACAACCTCCGCCTCAACCTCAACCTCAACCTCAGCCTCCACCACAACCTCAACCACATCTGCATCAGCTTCTGCCTGTGCCTCTGGCAATGCACCAACTCCAGCTTCCAGCAGCACTACCAGCACGTGCACGTACTCGTTCACGCATCTTGTACCAACAACAACCATCACAACAACCACGACAACAACAACTGCATCAGACCTGTATCACAATAGCAACATTGGCATTTGTGATAATAGAACAACAACCACAGCTGGCAATGCGACTTCAATCACAGCAACAACCACAACAACAACAACCACCGCTAAACTAAATGTCAATGCCAATGCAATTCCTTCGCAGAACCAGAGCCAGAGTCAGGGTCAATCCTATACGCACACGATACAATCGCTGATCAACAACAGCAACGTGAGGGTGAAGATCGCCGATCTGGGCAATGCCTGCTACGACGTGAGTACATATATGATTATTTCCTGCAATTCCGTTTGCCTTGGTTGCCTTTTATATTTCTAGTCTTAAAGTCAGTAAACAATAATTTATGATTGAGTTCGATGTTTTAAGTACTCAAAAACTCTAATGTATTAGAGATCGAGCTGGAAAAATAATCCCTCTTCGGTTAGTTTTCCTTTATTATCCAAAATCCTTTGGATTCGGGCGACCGTTTGATTTGACGTGTCCATCTTAACGGCCAATTGTATTGAATGCATTAAACTTTCTACAAAAGGGCAAAATCGTAGCTAGAGCTAAAAGTCTAAGAGGCAACTTTGAATCTCGGAACGCCTAGAATTCGATTTGTGTTATATCTCTTAACATTCGTTTGACAGTACCATCACTTCACCGAGGACATACAGACGCGTCAGTATCGCTCGATTGAGGTGCTGCTGGGTGCGCCATACAACTATACCGCCGATATCTGGAGCACAGCGTGCCTGGCCTTCGAGCTGGCCACTGGCGACTATCTGTTCGATCCGCATGCAGGAGAGTCATACAGCCGCGACGAGGATCATCTGGCGCACATCGTGGAGCTTCTCGGATCAATACCGCAATCGGTGATACTACGTGGCAAGCACGGGCTGAAGTACTTTACAAGCTATGGTAAGTGCGAGTCGCTGCAGTTGTGATGCTTGATTAAACATTGTCAACGGATTTAATTTGTAGGTAGTTTACGTAACATTACCAAACTGAAGCCCTGGAGCTTGTTAAATGTGCTTGTGGAGAAGTACGATTGGGATCCCGTAGAGGCCAAGAAGTTTTCGGACTTTTTGCTGCCCATGCTCGAATACAATCCTGTCATACGGGCATCGGCGGCGGAGTGCCTGCAGCATCCCTGGCTGGAGCAGGAGGAGTTCGTTTAGCTCATTTAGGATTCACAAAGGAACAGCCATGCAGGCGGACATAATATTTAACGCGAACTCATATTTGTAGGCTTTTATATGCAAAACAAAATTGACATAGTGGAATTAATATTACGATAAATATATATTATGCTTAATTAGCGTTTAAGCCTGAGAGCAAAATGTAGAAAACAAAACAAGGAAGAAATTTAAGATCGTAGGGCAAGGAGTTTTCGAAGCTTTTTTAAATTAACACGATTTTGTACTCGAGAGCTTTAAAACCTTTTAGCAAACAATGCAATTTTATTTATTATCAAAGAGAGGCAGAAACAGCAAAACGATTTATTTTATGTTAGTTCTTTCACTTTCATATATTTTTTGTATTAATAAAAGACAATGACGACAATTTGTAAGTCAACAGATGCCTAAACTGACTGATTGCAAAAAAAAAAAGCAAAAAGAAATTTAAATATAAAAAATAATCTTTTCGAACAAAACTAAAAACTCTAAAGATATAATAAGGATTAGTCAAATATTGAAAAGCGCAAATGATAATATAGCATGTTTATAATAATTTAAATATTTAAATGTAGTTTATTGATGGCTCTGGCGACCTTTCCATATTTCAATATTTATTTGTTGGCTGGCTCGAGGTCCGTGTTTGTTAAAACAAACAATGAAAAACAATTTTATTCAATTCTCTTCCGATATATTTCGGTTGCACATCGGCAAACCGTCTTCAGGGCACTAACACCAAGATACAAAAAACAATTAACAATTATAATACAATAAATTAAACATTATTTCGAACATTTTACATACATTATTTTACACGTCTGCGCTTTTTGACGTGGAGATTGTTACTGAGGTTGTTTGACTGTTTAAGAGGTGTCTGTACAAGTGAGCGCAATTTTCTGTGTCTGTCTTGTAGTTTAGTCGTTTGTAGGTTGGTGTGTTAATTATGTGTAGCATTTCCAATGTGTGTCGCTTGTTATAGTGTTGTTCTTGTTGTAAGATTGTTGTTTCATCAAAATTTGGTGTGTGGTTGCTTCTTATACAATGGGTCATAAGTGCTGTTTTCTGTATATTATTTTGATGTCTTAGTTTGAAGAACAAGGATTAGTCAACATAAATCGGACTTCAAACTAAGACATCAAAATAATATACAGAAAACAGCACTTATGACCCATTGTATAAGAAGCAACCACACACCAAATTTTGATGAAACAACAATCTTACAACAAGAACAACACTATAACAAGCGACACACATTGGAAATGCTACACATAATTAACACACCAACCTACAAACGACTAAACTACAAGACAGACACAGAAAATTGCGCTCACTTGTACAGACACCTCTTAAACAGTCAAACAACCTCAGTAACAATCTCCACGTCAAAAAGCGCAGACGTGTAAAATAATGTATGTAAAATGTTCGAAATAATGTTTAATTTATTGTATTATAATTGTTAATTGTTTTTTGTATCTTGGTGTTAGTGCCCTGAAGACGGTTTGCCGATGTGCAACCGAAATATATCGGAAGAGAATTGAATAAAATTGTTTTTCATTGTTTGTTTTAACAAACACGGACCTCGAGCCAGCCAACAAATAAATATTTAAATGTAGATAACTAACGACATTGTTACGATTGAATACAGCCAGCTTTCTAGCAGCAAGTAGTGATTGTGGTATAATTAACCAAAAATATTGTAGAACTTCAGCTGAATACGATTGTGTGTGTATTTTGATTGGTTTCACAATGTTAAGTTTCGTCGCGAAACGATTCGATTAAATGTGTTTTTTGGTTTTTAGAAAATTTTGTTAGTTGTATTATTTTTGCCTAATAGATGCAGTCAATAGTTTGATATTCAGTTACATTTTTATTTCTACATTTAAAAGGCCAGCTACGTGCTTTAAACAGAGATAATCACAAGATAATTAACGCACCATTGTATAATTCATACTTTAAATCTCCGATAAATCAACATGGTATTGCAATCATACAATAAGAAATATCAATAATATGCAAGTAAATCTTGTAGTGGAATTGAGCATTCTCTAATGAAATTTACAAAAGAAAAAGCTTTCACCAAGTCAAAACGCATATGAATTTGCTAGGGAAATCAAATTCACTAGGCAAAGAATTAAACATATTTTATTACTTACCTACAACATGTATTTGTACACCAACCAAAAAAGTAACATTAAACGTGACCAAATAATTTAATATTGTGGAAGATTTTTCCCATAAACACGTAAAGAAAAAAATAATAATTAATACACATCTAATATATACATGAGTAACAAAATAAAAATAATGCAATTACCATGTATACGTGTTAAATTGATGTGTGCAGAATCGCCAGAGGATTTCCTCGAAATACACTTATCCTGATCATTTGGTTTGCATATGCACTTTATTTATACAAATAATGTATCAAAATGCTGAATACTTTTGCCTTATATGCGCAGACATGGGTTTAGTTGGGTTATTATCATATATCAAATATTATTATTAAGTTTAACAATAGAATAATATACTCATTATTCGTAAGCATAATGCACAATGATCGATTATCAAAAACTATATAGCTAAATACTCGGTTAAGAATCGCTTGCCCTATGGCATCTATAGACCGAGGCCCATTATTTGTTCTTGTTTATAGACACCATGATAGGCATTACGGATGAGGACATACGGAAAACAGGATTCCAATAGATCCATGGTGAGGAATGGCGACTGTTTAACAATCTCATCTAGCAGCAAGTAAATGGACTCTCGATTGCGAGTGGCCTCTTTGTCGGATTCCTGGCCCAAACGCAGCAGCGATGAGCTGGCTAGAGCCAAAAATTCCTTCATGCGATCTTCCATATCGTTCTGCCCACAGATGGTGAACAATGCCCCAAAGATATTGTTTATAGCAGCCGCCATGCAGTGTGTATTATTTGAGTGGCCATCGATGGTAGCTCTGTAGAAGGAATGTTCATTGCGGGCCAGCTTTGGTATGGATACGGCCACAAATACCATAAGTAGACATGCGGTCAGGTGCTCGCCCTCATCAAACTCGGGTTTTTTGGATTTCAATGTGGTCGCCAATGTGGGATCTACCTTGCATAGCAGACCTGCCGCCGAGGCCATCTCGGAGGCGACCCGAATCTGATCTCCACCTGGTAAATGCTCCTGAAAGTCTTTGACCGAGCTAAGCAGGAAAGGTATGCGTTTGTCCAGCACATCCACCAGCGCCTCATGCACGAGATTACGAAAGCAGATTATAACACCAATTATGGTCATGCGCTGCAGTACCCGATCAACGTCTTGCAACCGTTTAAACTGGTCTTTCATTACTTCTGGCTTGTCAAAGCTAGTGCGCAGCGTGATAAGCACCTCCTTGTTGGTGTTTACCAGCGATTTCAGTTCCTGCACCTGGTTGGCAATATGCCACATAAGCGTCTCATTTAGCGTCTTGATACCGTACGGGCCCACTAGCTCGGCCAGTGCGCGCAATTCGTTTAGATCGGAAAACTCCTGAGGATTAAACGGCACCCAACCCTCCGGCGAAATGGGTACAAACGCTTTCTGGTTAATGGAGAAGACAATGTTTCCAGCAGACACTCGGCGTAGCAGCACCTCGCTATACCATGTGTTGTAGAGGGCGGCAATGGTTTTCTCCCCGTGCGAATCCAACGCCTGCGTTTGTTGCAGCAGGCAATTGTTGAACACACGGGTTATGTCTATATGTACGTAATTCTCTACCGTTTGCAAAACGTTCATGTAGGCTCGTACGCTGGCTAGCAGCTCCGATGGTTTGGCTATTTCCATGGTCTCCTGATTGAACATTACCATGCCGACCAAGTCGCGTGAGAAACGGTGTTCGAGATTTTGGCAGAGATATTCGCGCGGTGCAAAGGCAAATTCCCACACGTTGACAGTGGGGCAGTAGTTAATGGCATAGCACAGCTCTGTTAAAGCCATGTGTAATTTATCCATGGTGGTCAAATCCTCACGGGTCTTGCGATACGATTCGTCGCCTGGTTTGCGTATGTCATCAAAGTGTTTGGATTTGGATTTGTCCTTTTTCTTGCGAGCCGACTGAACGGACAGGATCTTAGCGCAGTGCTTGGGAAGTAAGGCGTCCGCCATGGTGCATTGCTCGTCGCAAATGGTAGTAATGATGTTTTTTGCCTCCTTGGCCATTTCTTCCAGAAATATGTTAACCACACTCAGCGATCGTTCGCGTATATGATGCCGCTCCTCTGGACACATTTCATGCGTACAATTCTGGAAGTGGCTGCAGATCAATGGAAATGCAATTATGTAGCGATTTTGAGCCGGAAATTCTAAGCACATGTGAAATTGATCGTCAAACATTTTGTTGTAGAAGCAAAATATGCTCAAATCCGAAGTCTCCACTAGTATTTCGTCCAGATTGTCCACAACGCGCGTATGAAACACCATCGAGTCGAGCAGGCGAGCCAGCTCCATATGCTCTGTAATACGTAGCGCTGCCTTACCCACGCTCATATACGTTTGCAGGCGGAACCAGTCCAACCGGAAGGGCCTAAAGTAGAATAGCTCGTTGTCCTCCACCTGCTTGACAGTAAGGCCAGCGGCCGTATTGTACAGCGAGCTAAATATGATACTCTCGTCCTCTGGGCACATCTGTAGGCTCTGCATGCGTATGTTTAGATCCGTCGCGTCGAATCCGGACAAATATTGCACATAGTAGCGCTGCATTACCTGGCTATATTTGCGCACCAGGGCTCGCAGTTCCTCCATGTGGAATAGGAGCTCCGGAAGTTGCCGGTCCACTAGATCTTCATTACTCTTGCCTGTTAGTGATCCTCATTAGTAGGTGCACAATGAGATGTTGACAGTTCTTACCTTTGTGCTTGAGCAGCGGCGGATTGTCGTTATGGCGTAGTAGCCAAAGAATCTCGTCACGCGCCAAACAAAGTCCAATAAATATGAAGATTGCCTTGGGACCCAATAGGCCAGGCTGATCGGTCATTATAAGCGCCAATTCCTTTAACGCGGTCCGCAGAAACTTGCGTCTTTCGCGATGCATCAGAGCTGCCTTCTGTACGGCTGTGTTGTAAGCCTCCTTCACCTCGCCGATTCGTTTGCTGTAGCCTTTGATTCCGTCGAAGGTTGTCTGAATGTACTGGTGGATCTGCAGCACTTCGTCCCTGAAGAGTGCTACCACCCAACTACTTTCCAGCGCGGAGAGCCAGATCTTGTTTACCTCCGGATATTGGCCGAGCATTTGGTGGTTCAGCAGTAGCCCAAATATGATCCAGCGATCCATGGCCTCCAACGAAATGTACTCACACGACATGGTGTCCGTTCTCACTGCCTTCAGTAAAATGGCCGGATTGCCCACTAGGCTGAGTTTTTGCATCTCGCGCCACTTGTCTGCTGGTAGATTACGTAGGGCATAGATGGAAGTCAGAGAGCGAAGCGCGTTTGTGAGCAGACGCTGGTGCGGTATGAACTCTTCGGCCAGTTTCTTAAGCGGCACTTCGTAGTCAAGAATCATCTGCCCCAACCGAGGAAAGCCAGTATCTGCCTGATTGTTCTGCAATTCATAGGCGGCATTATAGAGTCCCAACACTGCCTTGCGATCCTCGACGCGGGAGAGCACTATCATCAAGGATACGTATGTAACTACTAGATCCAGGTAGTTTTTGGTCAACTCGAAGTTGAGTGTTATGTCCAGGTGAATCTGGCAGGCATCCATTGTGGTCAGCAGCTCGCACACATTATCCTTAAATTCGAGCAGATCGACAAAAGTGTGGTAGTAGAGCGAAAGGGACTTAATAATCTCTGCCTTGATATTCACAATAGCACTTAGGCCTTTTACGTCGATATTGGGAAAGCGCTTGACAATAAATTTTATTGAGGACTCCAGGGACTTCTCAGACAGAAAGCCTGGTTTCGATTTGGTATCGCCGCATGCCTTTTTTATGTTGTAAATTCGCGTAAGTATGCCGAGGCCACGATCATTTAAAATAATTAACTTCTCAGCAATCTTTTGCTGATTGGGAAAAATTGGGCGTGCCATTGTTTTAGATTGCGAATGTAACTCAGACGCAAGGTCTATAATAAATGCCGGTAAATATTATTAACGCGCGTTAAATACGCCAACTAATGTCGGCGCACGTATTTTTACTGTAACTGTAAGACCTAAATATACACTATTATTTCTATTTATTACTTATTTTGCTGATAAAACACGGCTAAGATAAATGTACACATTTTAAACAGTGTGACCAAATCGTGAAAGTAAACATATACTGATTTACTCAACAAATTACCAATGAAGTTCTGCAGACATTCACGGTATTTATAATAATCTTATCGATAGTCCGATAGTTCTAACCAATTTAATAGCGGTGCCTTCGATATGCACATGTTGTTGCCATCACATCAATTTCGTACTTTTGGCTTTTATTAAGAGGAAGGTGAGCATTGATTTGCATTTAATTAAAGCTAAGAAGTACGGCTTACTTATCCAGTCTGACAGAAATGAGCACTTCAGGGAAACTGAAACGCAGCGACGTTTGTCGAGTTCCTGAGAACATCAACTTTCCGGCTGAGGAAGAAAATGTGCTGAAGCAATGGCGTGACGAGAAAATTTTCGAAAAGTGTAGCCAGCTGTCGAAGGGAAAGCCGAAGTAAGAAGTACTGTCGATTGCATCATCTTTCATTGTAATATATTTTGGTTTAATTGTTAGATACACCTTTTACGATGGGCCACCCTTTGCGACCGGCTTGCCGCACTATGGACACATCCTGGCTGGCACAATTAAGGATATCGTCACACGATATGCCTACCAGCAAGGCTACCATGTGGATCGGCGATTTGGCTGGGATTGCCATGGACTGCCCGTGGAATTCGAGATCGATAAGCTGCTCAACATTAAGGGTCCAGAGGATGTGGCAAAAATGGGCATTAAGGCGTACAACACCGAGTGTAGAAAGATTGTCATGCGCTATGCGGACGAGTGGGAAAACATTGTGACGCGCGTTGGTCGCTGGATTGATTTCAAAAATGACTATAAGACATTGTACCCATGGTACATGGAGTCAATATGGTGGATATTCAAGCAGCTCTACGACAAAGGTCTGGTATATCAAGGTGTAAAGGTTATGCCCTATTCTACTGCCTGCACCACCTCATTATCCAACTTCGAGGCAAACCAGAACTACAAGGAGGTCGTTGATCCCTGCGTAGTTGTTGCACTAGAGGCGATCACGCTTCCCAATACCTACTTCTTGGTGTGGACCACAACACCTTGGACACTGCCGTCTAATTTCGCCTGCTGTGTGCACCCCACCATGACTTATGTGAAGGTATGTATAGGTTTGTTATTATACTAAGTATTGGTGCAATGTCCGTAATAAGCATGGGCTTAAAAGAATTATAACTTTTGGCTACAGCTCGGATTTGTGTCTCTATCTGTGTATATATCCAGTATATTTCATATTTTTAATACTTCTGATTGCAGGTGCGTGACGTAAAAAGCGATCGGCTGTTTATTTTGGCAGAGTCGCGATTGTCTTATGTGTACAAGACGGAGGCGGAATACGAGCTGAAGGAGAAGTTTGCCGGGCAAACGCTTAAGGATCTGCATTACAAACCGGCGTTCCCCTATTTTGCCAAACGTGGCGTCGAGGTAAAGGCCCATCGTGTGCTGGTGGATGAGTATGTTACGGAGGATTCCGGCACGGGTATAGTCCATAACGCGCCCTACTTTGGCGAGGACGATTACCGCGTCTGCCTGGCGGCGGGCATTATCACAAAGTCAAGCGATGTGATTTGTCCTGTGGATGAAGCCGGCCGGTTTACTGCAGAAGTGACCGACTTTGCGGGCCAGTATGTTAAGGATGCGGACAAGCACATAATAGCCAGCTTAAAGGCGAACGGAAATTTGGTTTCGACTGGCCAGGTGAAGCATAGCTACCCCTTCTGCTGGCGTTCAGATACTCCGCTGATCTACAAGGCGGTGCCATCGTGGTTTGTGCGCGTCGAACATATGTCTAAAAACTTATTGGCCTGCAGCGGTCAGACTTACTGGGTACCGGACTTCGTGAAGGAGAAGCGTTTCGGCAACTGGCTAAAGGAGGCCAGAGATTGGGCTGTAAGTAGACCCTTTTTTGTGCTGAGTAGTGTTTAAAATTAAATCTTTATAGATTTCCCGTAATAGGTATTGGGGCACTCCCATACCAATCTGGCGCTCTCCTAATGGTGATGAAACAGTTGTCATTGGCAGTATTAAACAATTGGCCGAGCTTTCCGGTGTGCAAGTGAATGATCTGCATCGCGAGACTATTGATGACATTGAAATCCCATCAGCGGTTCCCGGAAATCCACCGCTGCGGCGAATTGCGCCTGTTTTTGACTGCTGGTTCGAGTCCGGGTCGATGCCTTTCGCTCAGCAACATTTTCCTTTCGAGAATGAAAAAGATTTTATGAACAACTTTCCAGCAGACTTTATTGCCGAGGGTATTGACCAGACACGCGGTTGGTTCTATACGCTCCTGGTAATCTCAACGGCATTATTTAATAAGGCTCCGTTTAAGAACCTAATTGCCAGTGGTTTGGTGCTAGCTGCCGATGGGCAGAAAATGTCCAAGCGCAAGAAAAATTACCCGGATCCCATGGAGGTGGTTCACAAGTACGGCGCGGATGCTCTGCGTCTGTATCTCATCAACTCGCCCGTTGTGCGCGCAGAAAGCCTGCGTTTTAAGGAGGAAGGCGTGCGTGATATAATTAAGGATGTATTTCTGCCATGGTACAATGCCTACCGCTTCCTGCTCCAAAACATTGTGCGGTACGAGAAAGAGGAGCTGCACGGCAAGGCCCAGTACACCTACGAGCGTTCAAGGCATCTGAAAAACATGGAGCATGCCTCGGTTATTGACGTGTGGATCCTGTCGTTTAAGGAGTCCCTTTTGGAGTTCTTTGCAACAGAGATGAAAATGTACCGCCTTTATACGGTGGTGCCTAAGCTAACAAAGTTTATTGATCAGCTGACCAACTGGTAGGACAAATTTACACATTTTGTAGATCATGAATACAGTTTTGTGTCCTTTTCCTTTTAGGTACGTGAGGCTGAATCGTCGCCGCATTAAGGGCGAGCTGAGCGCCCAGCAATGCATTCAATCGTTAGATACTCTTTATGATGTGTTGTACACTATGGTTAAGATGATGGCGCCCTTCACTCCGTATTTAACGGAGTACATTTTCCAGCGACTGGTGCTCTTTCAGCCTGCAGGGAGCTTGGAGCATGCTGATTCTGTACACTATCAAATGATGCCTGTTAGCCAAAAGAAATTCATCCGCAGCGACATCGAACGGTCCGTTGCATTAATGCAGTCGGTGGTGGAGCTAGGTCGCGTTATGAGAGACCGTCGCACGCTGCCCGTCAAGTATCCCATTTCGGAAATTATTGTTATTCACAAGGACAAACAAACACTGGCTGAAATTGAAACATTGCAAGATTTCATACTAAGCGAGCTCAATGTACGCAAGCTGACACTAAGCTCGGACAAGGAAAAGTACGGAGTAACTCTGCGTGCGGAACCTGACCACAAGGTGAGCATTTGATGCTTAAATACGAATTTATAATTCTAACTGATCAATATCCTTTGACGGACGTAGACTTTGGGTCAGCGCCTGAAGGGCAATTTTAAGGCTGTAATGGCCGCCATTAAAGCGCTCAAAGATGACGAGATTCAGAAGCATGTAGCCCAGGGCTACTTTAGCATATTGGACCAACGAATTGAGCTAGAGGAAGTGCGCATCATTTACTGTACTTCCGATAAGGTTGGTGGAAACTTTGAGGCACACAGCGATAATGAGGTTTTAGTCCTAATGGATATGACGCCCAACGAGGAACTACTCGAAGAAGGTTTGGCGCGCGAAGCTATTAATCGTGTGCAAAAGCTAAAGAAGAAGGCGCAGCTGATACCTACCGACCCGGTTATCATTTACTACGATTTGAAGACTACTGATGCGAAAAAGGAAGCCCAGGAGGCGCTGGCACAACTGCAAAAGGTTTTGGTCAACTATGCGCCCATGATAAAGGGAGCCGTCAAGTCCGAGTTCCTTCCATTTGACCAAAAGCAGGCCGCTTCAAAGCGCCTTGTCATCAGTGAGGTAGTGGACCTTAAAGGCGTTCAGCTTAATTTGACAATTTGTTCTGCTGAGGAGCTGCAGCTGCCCAATCTCGCGTGGCTGAATGTAACCCTTGATGGTGAGCTGCAACCACGATTCGCTAACAGCAACAAGGCCTCTATCCTACTGCAGGATGGTAGCAGCAAGCAGTACATCACCTTGGCTGCATTGCGTCGCGAGCTGGATGTGCTTTTCGGGCTCTATGGCGTCAGTTACACCATTTATGTGGTGGACCAGCAGAAGAAAGTAAGCGATCTTCAGGCAATTGATAAGAGTCTGAACGGCAAGCTACTTGTTTTGACTCGCAGCACGAATGCACTTAGTCAGGCACCGGCCTTCGAAGTCCTTCCGGTGCCGTATTCTAATTTTGTTAATCAGCCGTCGGGAAGCACAATATTTACTGAGAACCCAAAGGGTCACAGCCTATTGTAGGAGCTGAATTTCTCAGAAATGTCAAACATGTCGGTGGTTGATCGGTATTTATTTTTGTGCCGAATCGGTAAAAGAAATAAACTTTTTGAAAAAGTTGCAATTGAGCTTCATTACAGTCTTCGTTTTAGTGCAAAACGATTTTCACACTATCAAATTAAACACTAATGGGGTTTGCAACCTTAGTGCATGTGAATATATAATACACTTCTTTCTAAATATTATAATTTCTAAACTACGCACATGAAACATCTCCCAGCAAACAAATTTGAGGTAGCCATGTCCGACTGTCCGTCTGTTTGTTTCTATACAAACCAGTCTCTGCCCTTAGCAAAACTTTATAAATCAAAAAATATTTATCGACAGAAACAAATTCCACACAAATAAATCTTACCATATATAAAACCATTTATATTCAAATTGAGTAGTACATTTTTTTTTTTAATTTTAATTTTATTGAAATCGTTGCATTCGTTATATTATTATGGTTGTATAATATATGCGGGCTTGTCAAAAATGAGTGAGAGATATGTGTTTGATCTTTGCGTTGCATCTCAATAGTCAATAAAAAGTTTGATAATGTGTAAAGAGACGAGTTAAGAAAGATTATAGATTTCGGTTTTGAAAAATTAAATTAAGTGGAATTCAAGAAGAAATTTTCTTTGATAAAGG